AAACTGTTTTGCCTTCTCACAAACATCAGCGCAAGGGTCTTATTTAGATCTGTGGTGTGATGAGGTCCAGCTTTGCAAATTGAAACCTGGCTGTTCCAGTCTGCAAATATTCTTGGGCAAGATACTAACCCAGAATTTCCCCACGAAGCATCCATCAGAGTGTGAATGTTAGGCAGAGAGCTTTTTAATGTAGAAAAAAAGTACATAAATGAATGGGTAACTGAGGCATGTTGTATGTTGTTGAGAAAAAGCACTATAGAAGAAGCAGTCTATTTCCCAGCTCAGTACTTTCTGTCTACCCTTTTGACTCTGATGAACACTGGAGCAGCCATGGGTCAAACCACCAATCCTCCCAATAGAAAATGACCTGCTGTACCTCCTGAGCCACAGCCATCCAATGTCTTAAGCCTTTACATCTAGCTGTTTGTAACACCAACCACTGACAGTTGCCTTGGGTAGGCAGAGGCAGGCTAGCTGTCTCTGTACTAGGGTAACCAGCAGACATGGAATCCTCTAATTTTAACGTTGTGCAAGAAAGATAAAGTATATTTATTCTTTATCTCAGACAGGGAAGCTGCTTTTATGATAATATTCACTTTATGCCATGGTGTTAATCGGGCTGGAAAAATTCTCCCTGAAGCAAGTTAACGGCCCATTTCCTGTTTGTGGAGAGCTTTCAGTGACAGTTTTTAACTGTCATTACATGTTTCACACACATAATGACGATTGTGCTCTACTCAATTACACTGTAAGCACTGTCCTCAGGAGATTATTCTAGGCTTCCCAAATGGAAATTGAAATAAGATCTTGTCTCATTGTTTATCCACTTTGCAGTAATGACAAAGAAAAATCTAAATTCATCCTCATTCAACTTTGACTATTTGAGCACTCACCTAAGTTGTCTTGCTCCAAAGTATACCTATCCATTGCAAAGCAATAATAGTAATATTGTATTAGGAAGAAAGGCACAGAGGCAGTTATGCAGAAATACGACTGCGTGTGCCTTCGTTTTCAGCACGACCGATGCTTTTAATAAGACACAGAAACTTGAATCCCGTGGGTGACGTGAAACCCCGGCTTGCAATCTGATAAACTTGTGAAGATGTACAGACAGACTGGCAGTTTCCAAGGGTAAGGGGACCAAATTGTAATTTTTCCAACTCTGACCAGGGGCAAAGACCGAGTTGTGCGTTTGTGTGTCTTTCGTTTTGTTTTCTAAGCATCACACAGACACACACAAACAGACATTATGTATAAAATCCTGCAAACTGGCAGGTTTTTGAGGCTGGGGACCTTGCTCTGGTTAGTATTTTCTCATTTCTTCCTCCCTCCCTATCTTTCTGAGTGATTCTTACCAACCTACCTGCACTTATCTTTTCAGCTTAAGGACAAACAGTAACATTGTGGTCAGTTTATGTCATCAGCCTCTCCACTCACTATTCAGACAGACAGAGTCTGTCAGTCTGACCTTTATGTGACACCAACTGTGATTCACAATAGAGCACTGGTATCAGCATCTACATACACTGGATTACTCTGTCAGTCAGTTTGCTGGAATTTAGGAAACCCCCACTTTTTGTTTGCAAGTCTCTCAATAATTGAGGGACAGTTGAGTCATGTCTGTCCCTATAGCCTGAGGTGGAGCAGCAGTCACCACACACACAAACAAAAGCTAGTTTACAGAAAGCAAGGATGATGATATGGGTTGGCAGAGAGTATGCTATATGCTTCAGAGAAGTCTATAGGTTTTAGAAGAAGCTTGTGATGAATTAATTTAGGTCCTTAGTCCTTAGGTAATTTAGGTTAGGGAGCTAAATGTTGCACCCTTTCAGGATTTTGTACTAAATGTGCTAAAATTTCAATTAGGTACTTGCAAAGCTGTCACCAGCAGTTATTTTTCATGATTTTTCCCTTTTTCATTCTGCTCTTCTGGTAATGAGGTCTCAGACCAGAACCACACATACGCTATAACATGCTGCGTATGGAACCAAGAGTCTTCTTTTTATTTTGGGATTGCTGTGGCTCAGGAGGTTATCTACTAATCAGATGGTTGGTGGTTCAATCCCTGGCTGCTCCAGTCTCCAGGCAAGATACTGAAGCCCAAGTCGCTCTCTGATGCACCATCAGAGCATGAATCTACGTGAGTGTTACATAGAAAGCACTTGAATGAAGCATGCTTTATAAAGTGCTCTAGTCCCTTTACCATAATGTATGATATTTTATACTATGGTCTCAACAGCCACTAGAAAAATCACAATGTCTGTCCTGCTGTAACTTCTTTAATGGTAAATGGTAAATGGCCTGTATTTATATAGCGCTTTACTAGTCCCTAAGGACCCCAAAGCGCTTTACATATCCAGTCATCCACCCATTCACACACACATTCATACACATTTAATGACACATAGTGATAAGACCAGACATTTTAGTGTTAACTTGATCCGTCATTCTCTCTCGGTGGATCTCAGTCTGCAGATGTTGCTTGACATTGACCAAGGGCCACATGGTTATGGCCAGACTGGGCATCTCCAAGACATGGAGGGTGATCCAGGGTGAGCAGCTGCTAATAGTGGTTGCAGAAGGAAAACGTATGGAACAGCCCAAGGATGATGAGTGCTGTGCTGGAACTAATCTGTCCCGCAGCACTCCAACTTGCAGCTTAAAAGACTCAAGATTGAAAGGATGAAGTTCCCACCAAAAGGATCAAGTTCCCAGAGTGGAAAGGCAGCTTTTGACTGGGTAGGAGACAGAAGTTCAGGACCACAGACAGCTCACTAGTTCCGTCAGCTCTGGTAGAAGGTGAGAGGAAATCAGGACCTTGGACAGTGGCTGATAAGCTCTAATTGAACACTTTTGTTTCCACCAGAAAGGCTCCACTTATATTCCTCATTCAGAATCTTGGCTGAAGAACAAACAAACAATTGTCCTTGTATGCATGTCAACTGGTTACAATAAACACAATAATAAGGAAGTCAAAAGATGTCCACTAACTAGGCTTATGATAGTAATGGCTTCCATGTTCCTTTCCATGTGGTAAAAATACTTATGCATGCAAAGTAATGTCTTACCATTCCCCCAGTTTGGCAGAGGTTAAGTTGAGCTAATGACAAAGTAATTAGGAAACTACTCAGGTGTTAAATCCTCTAATGTGGTTGTTTTAGCTGCCTCACTGAGACTCTGCTCACAGCTCAATTGTCACCTCTGCTTATTTACTCTGACAGGCTGGTCTCCCTGCCTGACAACCAACACAAACACACACACACAGAAGGTCAAAGCTTCTTTTCATGATTTCGTGTGATGCCAGAGATCAATGAATAGATGCATCCATGTTGTATTATTTATATTCCCTGTCTTGCTGTATTTCTTTCTTTCGATTCTGCTGTCAGCGGCTCAGCTGGGTTTCACTGGTCCACTCATTCACTTGCAAATGCTTTTTTTTCAATAATTTATCCGTCACTTCCTTTCTCCTTCCCCTTACATTCATTTATCGATTTCCTCCTTCTTCCTTTTACTTCCTTTTGGCCTTTGTAACCGAGTCGCTTGATACTTTTTGTCAAAGATTTTGTCAGTGTTCCCAGATTAGAAGGACAACTTTTGATTTGGTTCAGCCACTTCAGTCTGCTGTGCTCGAAGGTGAGGGGAAATCAGGACCTTGGACAGCGGCTGATAAGCTACACTTGAACACTTTTGCTGCCACCAGAAAGGCAGAAAGGCTCCACTTATATTTCTCACACAATAAGCAAATCATAAGTTGTCATCTGTCTAGGCTTGTGTAAGTCTGCTCATTTTTTCTATACACTGATGAGTCTAATAGGGAATATGTATATATATCAATGCTGTGTGAACTATGTCTGT